GAAAAATATGAAGTGCTAATCCCCCCCCCCCCCCCCCCCCCCCGGGGAAAAAATTCTGAAATAATCACTGGTCATAACGCCTTCGGGACTCCATCTCCGGGTTTGATTTCAGAGTTTGCCTTATCTGAAATGAGTGGCCATGCAAGGCTGTCAGTAGGTTTAAAGAGTAGGCTGTCTTTGTGAAGGGTGACCGTAACTTCCAAAAAGTTAACCGAGATTTCAAAGACCAATGATGTGAATTTAATGGAGAGGTAAAAAAAAAAAGAATATTAAAAAGTTTATGAATAGTCTATTCAATAGGTAAAGTTCCCTCCTCTTCATGGTGGTGACCCCAGTACCATAATCAATGCACCGTTTGTAAAATGCAGGGAGGTGCCCAGTAAATTTTCTCTCCACCATTAGTTCGAAATGTCCCATGCACAAACATGCGTTGTTGGGTCCCATATTAGTCCTCACACAAACTTACTACCGGTATTGCTAAGTACACCGCCGCGGTGTACGTAGTTTCGGCCTTTTAATAAATCTGGTAAATCTAAAAACCTAAACTGTCCTACACTACAGCCACAGTCTACAGTACCTACAGACAGTATTAAATTAGGACTGAGACTGGGATGGGAAAGAAAACATGTTTCTGATTATTTGAGTCCCATATGCCAATCTTTTGGCAGATAGATAGTGAAAGGTATTTTAAATTCCGTCTGATAAAGAGGATTCTTCGTTATAGTAGCCTAGCTATTGACTATTGTTAAGTTTGTTAAGTTAAAGCATTTCCCTGATTTGGTCTTCCAAATAAAATGTCTGACGGTCAAAGTCAAAGCACAGAGAATGCGCCACATGATTTTATTTATGTGTTTTTGTAAATTTTCTGTTTTTGATTCACGCCTCAGCTTTAGGGATACATTTAGGGACATTTTTCGTTAAATTTTAACGTTTTATTCCTAATTTTAGCAATCAAGTTGGTGGCCGTGTGACGGCATGGCGCACTCGCACTCTCTTTGCAATTAGACATTACCACTTCAGCGTCGGTTATTCAATTATCACGTTGCTCCGGTTTGAATTGCTATTAAAATTAAAACGGTTATTCTGTTATCGATGTCAGTTAATAGGACAATGGAGAGAGGTCCACTGGGTTTTCGGTGGCATTGAATTAATTAGAAAGAGAAGTTTGGGTACTGTTTTGAAGTGCCAGACCAACATAAAGTTAGAGAGATATAATATAACCTTCCGGGCTCACTTACTTATTGTATTGGACAGATGGGAGGTTTATGCAAACAAAAATCAGATCAGACACAGAATCTACAAACACTCAGTTGTGCTTTTTTGTGGTCCATCATCAAAATTTTATTAACCTGAAACTGAATGACCCTTGACCCTTGCGTCCACACAGAGAATGAGGAACATATGTGGATGTGTGAAAAGCATAAACTGAAAAGACAGTTTGGCACAAGTCGCGATCTTTTCCCTTCATATTTACATGATTTCATGTTCCACAATTGTTTTCGTGGCAGTGATATTTCACTGTCAGCCTCTAAAAGTAGTACTAGTACCCCTGTACACCACCTCTGCTTGAGCCAGTTTCCACCATAAGGTACCTTATTGTTACCATTCAAAGACAGGTCAGCTGGGATGATCATATTAACAATGTGTACAACCAGGTAAACAAGATCCTAGGGTTCTTAAGGCTTAAAGCGAAATCTAATGGTTGGCAACTCCAGTGTGAAAGAAAAAGCCTATATAGCCTTTTCCCGGCCACTTTTAGATTTAGCATCTTCAGTCTGGGACCCATTCACCCAGAGGAGCATCAACAGGTTGGAGGCGTTCCAGTGACGGGCAGCACTCTTTGTCCTGAACCGCTACAGGAACACCTCCAGTGTTTGCAGCATGCTGGAAACACTGGGCTGGTCACCATTGGAGGAACAAAGATGACTATCCAGACATATAAATAAAGACAATATAGAAGTGACTAAAATAAAAACTGGGCAGAGAATTTTTGAGAGAGTGAATTTTTGAATAAGTAATAGCAATAGCATAGGTCTACTTAATAATTATATGAACCAGGGGTGGGCAAACATTTTGTGCGGAGGGCCACATAGACGAATGTAAAGCTATTGGGGGGCCGCATGTATATTAAATCCAATTTTTATATGTCGATAAACATTTCTCTATATTAAAATCTGTAATTTCGCATTTTAGTATTACATGACAAGAGTCAAGGACTGTTTAAAAAAATAGAAAATTAGAAAGAAATTAAATAAAAAATGTTAAAACAATCATGAAATTCTGTAAAATTCAACAAAATAACTTAAAAAGTAAGTAATTTTTTTTATTTCTAAATGCCTTCGAGGGCGGCATATCAGTTTGCGGCCCGCTGGCCGTAGTTTGCCCACCCCTGATATAAACTATATTTTAAGAAAAAGAGATGCACCGAAATGCATTATAAAACATCAACAATGACAATGCATCAAATACTCATATATACACTCAATACAGATAAAAGTTTATTATTAATGGTAAGATCTTTAACAAAACATAGCCTATGACTATGACGAATAAAATAAACAATAGGAAATCCGTTTATCATTTTCCATCGATAGTAATGACACTGACTGTTAATTCACAGTCTGAAATTGTAAGTCTATAAGTATTACACAAGTTTTGGACTGGGCACTACATATAATTGCACTACCGGTATTTAATGCACCCTTTGCATATGATGAGCTACACACGGGTGTAAAAAATTTCATCAAAATGGCTATAGACTATAGAGAATTTATTCAGTTTTTGTATACTGGTACTTAGGACTTAGTTAATATATGAGCCCACAAATGAAAATTGCAGTAAATGAGTAGCCAAAAAAATATTTTTCATTAATTTTGTCATTGATATAGGCTCAGTAAACCCTTGTTCTGCCATCACTAATTGAATTAGCTATGAAGTCAGTTCAAGCAGCCAGGAAGAGAATGTTGCAGTATCCAGAAGCTCTTTCCCAGTGTGCAGTTCAGGTGAGATTACAAAAGGTTTAAATTTGGATCGGACTGAGTATTAAGCACTATACATATGTGTTGAGAGTCACTGAACATATTTTGTATTTATTCCAAAACATTTGTCCTTTTTAACTTATTATTTGTGTTGGAACATCCATATTTGTTCTTTGGCAGTGACACTAGTGTTATCGATTAGTTATTAATTGTTTGTCCTTTGTATACTTCAGAGCTCTTTTTTCATCTTACAGCAATAGACTATAAAAGTTTTGACTGTTAGCCTCTTATCTTTGTTTTCAGTTTGTCAGTTACTGTGAGTAAAGGGTTGAAAGTGTTTAAAGAAAAATTATTATTCCATTATGATCATTACGGTATACATCCTCCCATATACAGATCATTCATGTCTTAAAACTTCACTCAAGACACATCTGTTCAAACTCTACTATCCCCCTTTGACTGATAAATGATGCTGCTGGGTGCCGTCCATGGCGTGACATGTAAATACATCTGGGGTGGGCGGGGAGAATATATATTTTTTGTTTTGTTTTTATAAGCTGCTTTTTAATTAAATAAATGTATGTCATTTTTTTAATGTTATAATTATGTTTGCTAATATTTTTATGTGCAGCGCAGTGAGCCCAGCCCTATGTTGAGGTACTGCGGTATATAAGACCACTGTAATAATAATAATAATAATAATAATAATAATAATAATAATAATAATAATATGGTAATAATAATAATAATATATATTAAATTATATTGTGTCATCAAATAACATACTATATGGTCTGGGACTAATGATTTAAAAGTGGCAACCTTTGGAACAGTGTTGCATTTTCAGAAAATGCAGCTAAAATGCAGCTGTGTCCACCTTACAAGGGTTCTTGAACACTTTTAGTTTAGCACATCTTTAAATGAATTCTTTACACAGTAATATAAACTTACAAAGAAAGAAATGTTTGTTTGTTGAAAAATGAATACCGGTACACAAATTAATCACATCCTTTATCGGCTGACACTTTTTTTATAGGTTTGTTAAGATGGGTTTTATTATAGGTTTGTAATGATCTTAGTATTTTAAAAAAATATTTTATTTGCTCTAAGGAAATTAGGACAGATAAGATTTGAAATGAAAAAGAAATTAGTGATAATAAGTTACGTTGCTAAGTTTAAATTTTACAAATATTTATATTTTTTAAAATTTGACAGGCCACAGCATATGGAAAGTGTGTTGCATCAAAAGAAAATGTCACCAAAACTGTTTGCCAGAAAGAATTTGAAGCTCTTAAAGATTGCATAAAAACAGCAGTAAGAATTTCACCATTAAATGGATTGTGTTTACAATTTATTCATATATGAAACATAGAATGTACTTAATCATTGATCAGCCAGAAAGTTAGGAGAACAAACCTCTGTGATTTTGTATCATTTCACATTCTTGTGTAAAAAGATTAGTAAGCCCCAAAAAAAACATAGAATGGCCTGCAATAATGCTAGAAAAAACGAAGAATGTATGAGAATCCAAGTCTTATCATTTATCAGTTATTGCAGTAGATAAAGCTGATGCAAAGAGTTAAATCTAATAAATGCCTAATTATTTTATGAAATAGTGAAGTTTGGGGGTTGGAAGGGGTGGAGGATGTAGGGTGGGCATTGCTTAAATGTGGAAATCACTGCTCTGTTTAGGCAAACAACTAATTTTTTACATCTCCAGATGAAAAAGTAAAATTAACTTTGAGAGATTGACGCAACTTTGGATAACTTAAAAAGGTGAGTTCTCTACTCTAGTAACCTTAATAAAGGTTCCCTTTTAGCCTTAAGACACATTCAATTGCATTTGCAGATGAAAAAAAATAATGCCTACATTTTTTGTCAATCATTCAATCTCAATCGTTGAGCGATCGGGACACAATCGTTATTAATCAGACACAATCATCTTAACCTTTTTCTGAAATTTAATACAGTATACAATCAATTATCTATAATTAATTAGAGATTGTGCAAAAAATATAAGTAATTTGAAAAATTATAAGAATAAATGCCAAATTTTGGGGGTAAAAAGGCTGTTTGAATTTTGTTAGCATAGAGAATGATCTCAGGCCTGATGATCTCTCACAGTGAGTGAAGGAAATAATCTTAACAGTGAAGATCAAATGTGGCCCCCGCATTAAGTAAAAGAAATAATCTTAGGGGCCATCCATATAGTACTTATGCACTGAGGGAGTGGGGCTGTCGATTTTGGAGATTTTTGCGTATGCATGCATATGGTACGATATGGTGGGGGAGAGATGTCTCGGCAGAAACTACATATATTTATTCACAAAAAAAAAAAAAAAAATTATCAGGAAATTCTTACAGTCCATAAATAGCCTACTTATATCTCTAATGCGGTAAATTAAAAGTATCACACAATGTTTTTTAATTGTCGTCATAATGTAGCACCGTAAAAAATTAAGTAAAAGAAATAATCTTGGGGGCCATCCATATAGTACTTATGCACTGAGGGAGTGGGGCTGTCGATTTTGGAGATTTTTGCGTATGCATGCATATGGTACGATATGGTGGGGAGAGATGTCTCGGCAGAAACTACATATATTTATTCACAAAAAAAAAAAAAAATTATCAGGAAATTCTTACAGTCCATAAATAGCCTACTTATATCTCTAATGCGGTAAATTAAAAGTATCACACAATGTTTTGTAATTGTCGTCATAATGTAGCACCGTAGAAACAGTAATATTTAGTCAACCGTTTGCCTTTTAAGAGCCATCATAAACGACATCACACATTTAGGGTAAGTGTGTGTGTGGGGGGGTGGGGGTGGTGGTCCACGAATTAGTGATGAAGTGTGATTAAAGTTTTCTACATGTATATAATTTGTGTCACAAATTTGTGATGAAACAGGGTGTGGGGGAAGGGAGAAAAAACAACCTGCTGAACTAGCATGTCATCATTTATGGGAATGCCCTACTCTTTTATCATCCACGTGCGTGACATATTTAGTTTATTTTGTTTAGCTACACCAGTGGTTTTTAGATAAAAAAATTTTTTGCCGCCTTTACCAAGTTTAGATTTTCACTAGGCGCACAATACCGATTTCTAAAAAATACACTTCTTTGAGATGGGGATTAAATCACAGGGTGTCATGGCACATATTTTGGAAACTACTGGGCTTGCCAAACAGCAGTGAAAACCCCTCACACATTTTTTTCTACTGTAACATCATAATTGTGTATGAAGTGCTATGAATATATTGATTTGTTTTTGTTTTCTGTTCGGGGTTTGGGGTTTGAAAGCTCATTGTACGGACGCATTGGGGGGGGGGGGGGTATGTGCTAAAAATATGCATGCAACAGGGGGGAACTTTTTTTTTGCATGCATACTAATTATATGGATGGCTCCTTAGTAGTGAAGATCAAAGGTTGCGCCTATACTAATTAAAGGAAATAATCTTAATTAATAGTGAAGGTGTCATAAGATAAGATTCTTTTACTGATCCAAACAAATGGAAATGTCTTTTGATTGCATTGTACATTTTCAGCACATAAATAAAACAATTAGAACTCAAGACATCTACATTAAATTATTCCACTTGTGAAAAAAACAGCCATTCAGTGGATTCTCTTAGCCATTTCAGGGAATTATCAATTTTCATTAAGATTTGTGACACGCTGATAAATTTGTAAAGATTGGGGAACAAAAGCATTTTTATATTTTTCAGTTCTCGCCCTGAATTTGCCCGAACGGGCCCATCCTAAGTATCATCCAAAATTTGTTAAGTTCTACTAAAACATCTTTCTTCAAATAGTTCTTCAAGTGAAGGATGTTTGGTTTGTGTTATGCTCCTAGCTTCCTAGATTATTTTATTTATTCAGTGTTTAATATCAGATGATGAATTTCCACACCAGCAGGTAATATTGAAATTAAGTAGGGTTCCAATTATTGCACTGTAGAATAAGTTAACGACTTTTTTGTTTATGTTGAATTGTACAGTTTTTTGAGGTAGAACAGTCTTTGGTTGAATTTCTTATACAGCATTTAGTGAAGCCTCGTGAAATTACTTTTAAATTATCTGATGCTTTATTTAGCTGAACATTGGTATGAACAAAAAAGATATAAAAACATTTAATGAAATTTAAGACTACAAGCAAACACTACATTTGTTAAGATTCATACAAAAGAAATAACTATTATATGCCTACTGACTCAACGTTCTCAAAGCTACTCCTCCTACTCTCACAACTACAAAGATTATTTGTGAATGGTTAATGCAGTAGCCATCAATGATCCTCGGATACACCATTCCCCGATAACTAATATTTATACAATGACTTATTTATGAACTAATCCCATACACTGAAAAAAACATAAATTTTCAGCTAATATTGTCTCGCTTGTAAGATGTAAACAAATGTTTTGACAGATAGCATAGTTTTGAATGTTTGCAACTTGATTATTTTTTCAATTAAAAAACCAGTATGTACTGATACTAATGTTGGCAAGTCATACTACTTAGCGTGTATCATTTAAATATTTGAGTCACTAGCACTGTGTTTCAATGGATTATTATAAATAAATGGTTATTTTAGATTACAAAAATTGATATATGCACACTATTTTCTATTTCAGATGATCATGAGGAGATTTTGTGTTGTAGATATAAAATTATTGCTAGAGACCATGAAAGTATATCAAAAGGTTGGACTTTATCAGACTAGAGAGTTTTGTGGGAGAATTTTCACCCAATGGGAAATGACATCCCTGAGGGATATAAAGGCCAAGTCAGTTTTTTCAAACTATGGATCTTTCCCTAACAAATTTACATCATCTAAAACATATTTTTGTAGGCAATATTTAAGTTTATCATCAAAGTTTACAACTAAATCTATCCCTAGTGTTCCAGTTCTTTTAACAAACAATCAGCTTTTAAGACAGCATGTCAGTTATACCCAGATTCTGTCAGACTTTAAACACAGATCAGCACATCATTCATCACGGATCACAGATAAAGACATTAGCAGTTTCAAGGAAGCTGAAAAGGAATTAACTTCAGGCCGTCTTGCCTTTTTGTCCAAAAATTTGAAATGCAGTTTTGATGAAACCAAAAAGATGGTCGATAAATACACATTTTTCCTTCATTTGAATCCGGAACTGATCCTTGAAAAAATTGCAGTCATGCAAAGCTATAGCTTGCCAATATCATTTATTAGCAGAAACCCTAGACTGTTATACCAGCACTCCTCAGATGAGTTGAAGAGGCGCTTACAGTTGTTGAAGGAGGCAACCCTCCTGACTGAGAATCCCATTATCCAACAGCAAGATTTAGCTCACTATTTAGAATGTCCGTACAAAACATTTGATCATTCGTTTAAAAGGTTATGTGCTGAGCGAGATGCACTTGAGGGCTGTTGGAGTCAAAAAGATTACCTTCAGTTGAGACTTCAATGTTCCCAAGAAACAGCAGAGACATTGTTGTCTCAATCTCCTCTGAAAAATGTTGTCAGCAATGTTAAGCTGAAGCAGTTTTTGGATTTCATGTTGAATGAAGCCAAGTTCAGTCCAGAGTTTGTTATTCAACACAGGCAACTGATGTCTTTTTCTCTTGACAGACTGAAATTTCGATGGCATGTTATGCAAGCTGCAGGTGTGTCTGCATCTGAAGAGATGGTTTATGTGTGGAAATTGGCTGAGCAAAAATTCACTATTCAGTTTGAAGCCTATATTTAAGCACCATGCATGTTGAATTTAATCTTTGGCTAACCCTTCAAGTTAAAAGTGAGAACAATATATTGGAAGCATTAATTCTTCATTAGATTTAAATAAGTCAAATGAAATTATTAAGCATTTTGACTAACCTGACACATTTGAGGTCGTTAAAGGTATTGGCAGGTAGTTGCTGACAGGTGTTGGTTTTGAAAAGATAAATGCTTTCTCTAAGATTACTAAGAATCATTGCAAATAAGTTTTAAGATCCATTGTTCTCCCCCTTCAAAGAAAACTATATTTGGTAAGGTTGTGAAATATAATGTTTAAAATATTTTAGAAATATTATTCCTGAAATTATTATATGATTAGTTTAAACGTTTTCAAAATTGTACAGGTCTTTAAAAAAGTCACTCCATTTTAGAGATGTAATGTGTCTATCACTGCGTTTTAGAGATGTATTGTGTCTATAACTGTGCGTTTAGAGATGTATTGTGTCTATAACTGTGCGTCTAGAGATGTATTTTGTCTATAAATGCACTTTAGAGATGTATTGTGTCTATAACGGTGTGTTTAGAAATGTATTTTGTCTATAAATGCATTTCAGAGATTATTGTGTCTATAACTGTGCGTTTAGAGATGTATTGTGTCTATAACTGCGTTTAGATATGTATTTTGTCTATAAATGCATTTTAGAGATGTATTGTGTCTATAACTGTGCGTTTAGATATGTATTTTGTCTATAAATGCATATTAGAGATGTATTATGTCTATAAGTATATGTTTTAGAGATGTATTGTGTCTACAACTATAACTGTTATCAACAAATATCTTCTGCATGAACTTATTGCTTTTGAAATCTAGCAGTACCTATTGAATTTTATCCTGTAATTCATGTGTAGGCCTACATGTTTTAAAACATTAAAAGTAACTGCATCTCACCTAGGAAATAAGTACCAGTAACTAAAGATATACGGTTACCAAGCCTTATGTTTTTAAAATAAAATGTTGATTGCTATGTCCTCACTATCTTATCAATATCAGTTTTTATGTGATACTTGTTTTGCTATGTGCTTTATGTTTGAGATCTCTAAAAACTGAATATAATGTGAGAGCCATGTGGCAAGTCTTGTACAAATCCATCAGAATAACATAGTGATTTATTTCGACTATTAGCTGCCTTGCAGTCTTCAAATTTTTATTAATAACCAGTAAACGTAAATACAGTATTCATTTTAACTTGTGGAGGTCCAACCAAACAGTTTATTTTTCTTGTATAAGTTATACAAGAAAAATAAACTGTTTGGTTGGACCTCCACAAGTTAAAATGAATACTGTATTTACGTTTACTGGTTATTAATAAAAAGTTACTTATACTATAAGTATAATGCCTTTTAAAATGTGAAGTTCTTGGCAAAAGTCGAGCTTTCCTGTGCCTAAGGCTTCCACAGAATGAAAAGAGGATAGCACACATATAACAAGGATAGTTTGTGTTGCTTTAATCTTCTTTAATAATAATAGTATAGGGTTCTTTGTCGACACAATTTTACAATGACAACTTGACTCTCCACAACTTTGGCTCAATTTATAATTCTTTTTTATAGTGTAGTCTTAAAAACAAAAAGTAATTTTTTGTTATTGAAATTGAAGCTGTGGCCCAGTGCACATATGAAATAAACTGGATGCATTCTCTAATCTTACATCAACTTTTCGGCTGTGCAGTTGATATTAAATCAGTTACAATAAATGGAATATTTGTCAATCATGTATTTCTGTTTACATATTCAGCTAGAAAAGTAAGTTGCGAAAGATTAAGTTTAATACATAACACTAATAACAAATAACACAAGGTATAAGAGCAACATGAAGGTAAAGAATTATTTTGAATTTGAAACCAAAGATGAAACAGTAGCAGGAATTATGTAGAAGAAACAATCATTGGAAATGATGCAGAGATTCACACGATGGATTTTCATGGAGAGTTTATGTGTAAATGGTAACAGTAACATGAACAGATTGAAACATTGGAAACATTTTAGAAATTGTGAACACCATGAAATAACAGCTGATTAGCTCCAAAGTTTTTAGTTTCATTAAACTTTCATGTAATATATAATAGTATTAATAGACAAAGTTGAGCTTTTGTTACTAAACGCTTAAATGCAGTTTAAATAAAAACAGTCTGCACATGTGAAACAACCCTTCCACATTTCAAATAAACCACACTTCACCATTGATGACAAACATTAGTAAAAGTCAAAGATCAGCTTTCTTTCCCACAGAAGTCAGAAAGCACACATCCAATCATTTCAGATTGTTTTTCTTTAGTTAACGTTTAACTTTTAAGCACAGATATAGATGATGTGTATGTTTGGAAAGTTTTCTTATCCCTTACACTTACATCAACAGTCTTTAGATTGTATGCATTACTAAAATCTTTTCATAGGTACCGGTATCTTGGGCTTGTTTAGGGTCCTGTCAAATGGGAGAACAAAAGCCAGTGATTATTTAGATCAGTAGCTGAACAACAACCGGTACCGGTACTAAATTTATGGTCAGATTGAATTTGATGGTCTTTTCATTATGTGCGGAAATATTCCAATCATATGATGGATGGGCCAAATATATGACAACAAGTTAAAGGCCGCCAAACATTGGCGACGGCAATGTGTGCACTTGCCATCTACCGTATTTTCCGGCGTATAAGACGACTTTTTAACCCATGAAAATCTTTTCAAAAGTCGGGGGTCGTCTTATGAGCTGGTGCACAGCCAAACCCTAGATTTTAAAAGGAAAAGTAGGGGTCGTCTTATACGCCCAGTCGTCTTATACGCCCAGTCGTCTTATACGCCCAGTCGTCTTATACGCCCAGTCGTCTTATACGCCGGAAAATACGGTACTAAAGTTACTTGACAGAACATGAACTCAAGTATCGCACATTTATGAATTCCAATTTTTGCTCCCCCCCCCCCCCATGATACGTCCTGCCACCCTTTTTTTTTGCCCCCCCCCCCCCCCCATGATACGTCACTGCACACTTTTTTTTTTTCCACGCCCATGAACTATATTAAATATTCTGATGCCCCAAACACTTTTAAACTGAACTTTTTTTTTTACACCATAATTAAATTGAGATGATTTCATTTATCGAAAAATATTGCGCACCAAACCAAGTTGCGTTATTATTAGCGTATTTATCCTGAATTATATTTTGCGCGCTAGTGAACTCATTATCTAGGCCTATATATAGCCTGCGTGGTGGTGGTGTTTGACCTTTGCTGGCGAATTATATATATATAGATAGATGGAAAACTGTAAATGAAAACATCAAAGGATTTCAACATTTTATGACTTTGGGATTTCCCAATGTGGTCCTTTGACTTGGATAGATCTATTATTGCTTGCCCAATTTCACATCATTTTCCACAAGCTGTAACACTAGAGTTGCTGGATCAAAATGGTGAAAGTGTAAATAGTGTTCTGGAACAAAGCTTTGTCAAAATAACATTTAAAAACCCCATACTTTTTACGGCATATCTTCCAGTACCTTAAGTACAGCTTTGATACATTATGCAACTTGCAAGATACAGCTTTGATAGCTTATGCAACTTGCAAGATATTATAGAGTCCAAATCAGATTTAAAAAAAAAACAACAAAAAAATAAAAACAACCAAGCTGTTTAAGAATGTCTACAAAACTCAGAATTTCAACTTGAATTCACTAATGTTTCTCTTATTGTTCTACTCATCTACTGTAGAGTATATCATATTAAAAAAAAATGCTCGTACTAAATTAAGGTACAGTACGGTACATATGGAAGGCCACATCCTTGGAATGTGCCAACACATCTATCATGCTGTGGCCAACATTTTTCTTTTTATGTACCGGGTATATAAAAAAGTTGAAAACAAATTTGTGATCCAAACTCTCTGAATAAGACATTTAAAAAAAAAAAACATGAAATATGAAATTATGTGGACTTGTGGGGAGTAAAAAAACAACAACAAACACATTAATTTGTATTACTTATCCTTTGGACAATCTACTGTGGCAGTTACGGTTAAGTTTATTGTAATACATACACAAGGTACACATAGGCATCATTTGATCCAAACTTTACATTCATAGGACATAAGAATCAAGACGAGCTACTGGTATAAATTAATGAAAACCAGTAGTGACAAAATAAACACCAGAAATTAAGGACAGAATTAAAATCAGTTGTTTTAATGACAACATCAAGTCAGAGCCGATATTTGTAATGTATGTCTGGCATTCAATTTGAAATAAGCAACAAGGGTGGAAGTCATCAGCATTTAACTAAACTCATTAGAAGCAGTGTGACCAGCACATGAAATCAAGACAAAACAAAGTATGTCACAGTAAATAAATAAAATTTGCATAATTTAAATGCAGGGATAATGTCATAAAAATACTGTGTATAATAAAAGATAAAGCGTTAAGACGATCCTACAAGTATTTGGTTTAATTGGAAGATATTGTAAACGACCGAAATACATATTTTCCTTCACAGAACATTCTTTCCCAAACATGTTCAGGTTGCTGCCTGCCCTTTCTTAACTCTACAAATAAAACTTTCCACAAGGAGAGAACCGTAGCACCACCCCTTCCTCACCCTCCCACTCAAATAATAGTTAAAATTAAAAAAAAAAAGTTAGTTAAAATGTATGTCAAGTTGCAAAGCTCTTTTTACCTCACATACTGAACGTAAAGATTCCAGTTCAGTTTTTTTTTTTTTTTTTTTTTACAATACTGCAATTTCATGTGTACAATTTGGAAAGAAAAAAAAAAAAGTCTAATTCAAGAGTAAAACCAAGGAATAGATAATGAGAGACCATCCCCATATTAGACCTATTAGCACCGGAACGTTTCGTAATTATCGTCATACAGTTGTTTTGTGTGTTTTTTTTTAAACAAGTGAGCTTTCTAGATATTGCGCAGTAATACCGTGTGTGTGTGAGGGGCCGTCCATAAAGTACGTCACGCTCTAGAGGGGGGGGGGGGGGGTGTAAGAAATTGTGACAGTTTGTGACGGGGGGGGGGGGGGTCGCGGCAATTTGGGTCATTTATTTTTAAAATTTTTTTTTTATTTTTTTTTTTTTTTTTTTTGTTGGCGTCCAACTTCTTCTCTATCCCCATTCTTTGTTGTGTTGACGGTACCCGGTAGACCAGATTCAATGAAAAAATGGGGCTGCATCTCCTCTTCTCTCCCGCCACCCCTTCAAAATAATTATTGACTGAGATAGAAAAACAAATTTGGACAGTTAACCAAGTTTTAATTAGGAGATTATGAGACATTAAATTCAATATTCAAAATAATAGCAATACCTAAAAATCTCAACCATTTAAAAAAAAAAAGAAAAGGTATTATATTTTAATGAAATATGATGTAAAGTTTACAAAGGTGGAGAGGTTAATTGTTATATAAATATTTATAGCACATAAATAACCAATTAACAGAAACTAATAATATAACACAAGATATTTTGGTTACAAAAAAAGTTGGAATGATTTGCGCTTTTAACTCTTGAAATTTCAAAAGTTTTAATCACATTCAAAGTAGGCCAATACAATAAAAAAAAACAAAAAAAAACAACAAAGACATTTACTTCTAAAAGAATTTTGTTCCCAGATAATAATAATAATAATAATAATAATAATAATAAAGTTTATTTGAAAAAACACGCTTCATCCCCAAAAGCTCGAAGCGTGGTACAAAGTCAACCATATTAAAAAGAGAAATAAAAACAATATAAAATTTACCACATTTAAAAAACAGACGAAACAATATAAAACTACATACGAGCATACCAAGTCAAAGTCTTTCATCCCAAAGGTGTTTGCGAAATAGATGTGTTTTTAAATCGCTTTTAAAGGACTCCAGTGTCTGGCTGTTTCTGAGAGCGATTGGAAGGGCGTTCCAAATTGTTGGGCCAGCAAATGCAAAAGTGCGCTTTTCGTAAGTCTCAAGGAGAACACACGGTATCGATATTTTGCCACAATCGGATGAGCGGAGCTGTCTAGTGGGTACATAAGGCGTCATGAGTGCTTTGAGATAAGATGGTGCCAGGTCATGTAAGCAGCGGTAGCACAAAGTTGTAATTTTGTACTCTATGCGAGCGCGGACTGGCAGCCAGTGCAGCTCTCCCAGAAGTGTTTTAGCATGGTCGAATTTGCGTTTGCGAAGAACAATGCGAGCCGCATTATTCTGTGCTCTTTGAATTTTATCCAGGAGCGTAGCTTGGAGACCCACCATGAGAGCATTGCAGTAGTCCATGCGTGATAACACAAATGCAGACATCAGCCTTTTTGATGCATCTAACGTTAAGAAAGATCTGATATGACTAATCCTGTGCAGCTCTAGAAAAATCGCCTTGCAAAGCATGTTAATGGGATTTTCCATAGTTAACGTTCTGTCTAAATAGACACCCAGGTCTCGCACTGTATGAGCAAACTCAATCTGCATACCTGAGAGTGTAAGTGATGTTGTGTTTTTTTAAAACAGTTTTTTTGTTTCTGAGCAGTGGCGATGGGGATCAGCTCAGTCTTTTCATCATTCAATTTGAGCTTGTTTATGGTCATTCAGTGCTTAACTGACTCCACTGTCTCCTGAGTCGTACTAAGAAGTTGAGGGAACTGAGAGTGGATCACGGATTGATGAAGTTGTGTATCGTCCGCGAACATGTGATACAGCATGTGAAATTGCCTGATAACTGCACCCAGCGGCTGAACGTTAAATGATACAGTTATTAAGCATTGAAGGTTTAGTATCTGTGTAGCATTATTTGTATAATTAAATATTTTGTTTGCTATATTATAACGAAAGCTAATGTTCGCTATCTGGGTAGGCCACCAATTACATTTAACAATTTGGCAATTTTATTCCCAGATGATATGTTTAGGACACTACAGATGTGAAAGTAGTTTTGAGATTAAAAAAAAAAAAAAGCCAAATTGAAAACTAAACAATTCTCTCTGTTCTAAAATGATTCAACAAGGTTAGGACAAATACACACAAGTAGTAGCTGCTTGAGTTGTCCACTGTGCTCTTTTCTTTGTTATATTTTCATTTCTATTGTTGGCTGAGGAAGGCTTTACGCCGAAACGTCCTTGAGTTTTTTGTCCTGTTTTCTTATTTCAAGCTTCCACATACCTCGGTTTCGCTATTTCATTCAGTTTAAAGACAAGAGTCAAAATTCCCACAATTCCTAAAGTGCAATTTTACATCCGGAAAGGTAACACTTGATAAAAGTTTACCCGAGTTATCTTTCTTTGTCCCACATATTTTTTCCACTTAACAACATATTAAATTAGTTTCTGAAAACCCCATTCCTAAAAATAAAATAACATACTAA